GGGGGGACACAAGGACTGCAAAAGGACAAAGGGAATTCTGTGCCCAAACGCTCACCGTTTTTGAGATGTTTTGAGCAGCTCGGATCTTACGTAGCTTGATGTAGCCTGGATTCCTGCTGAGAGCTTCCCCGAGGTACAAGGGAACGAAAGTTAAGGAAAATCATGCCAACAGAAGCCGCTTACCCTCAAGGAATTCTTCCTAAGCCATATTAAAGAACTTCTTAGTGGGTAAAAGGCAATCTCTATCCCAGTAACGTGGGCCTTTGGGTAGGCATATTTTCACCTGCCCAGATGAAGAACATTATGGATTACGGTCACACACAACCAATAAAAGTTAAACTTTACAACAGAGAGCGCAGGCCCATGGCCTCCTCTGCTCTGACCTGTAGCCTCAGACGAACCTCGCTCCAGCTGACTGCAGCAGCGGGAAAAAGAACAGTGACCTACTTGAAGCTATCATCCGATCACAGCCTCCTGAGCATGAGCCCAGTGTGACAGATTCTCAGGACTGCCAAGCTCCCAAGCCACATCCCACAAAATCTCCCGAAGCAGGATATCATCTTGGCAGCTGTCGCTTCTCCCTCGGCCTGAACTATCTTCTGCTTCTGCTCCTGCTTGGCCTTCTCCACCAGGAACTGGGCACGCTGTGCCTCCTGCTGGGCTGGGGGGAGAAGGGACACAGGCATTGGAACCACATTGTATCTTCCATCAGAACCTGACAGCTGAGATCAGGGGCTCTGCTTCCCAAAGAACCGGTAACATTCTGGGACCACATCCAAGTACAAAACATACCTGAGAGCACTCTACCTTTTCTTGAGTAAAACCCACAGCACCCAGACCCTCCACACATAACCCCCACAGTGAGTGACAGAGCCTCAGTCTGAAGAGGAATCTTAGTTTTGGGAACTCAGTCCTTCTGGTGGTCTATCCCATCAGCTAAGGCTTTCTGGTAACACTTGCAAAATAAACCTGTTCAGCTCTGTTACTAAGGAGGCTTAGAGACTTGTAACCCTGTACCTGAAAGTATACAGTGACACAGCAGTGACACACTAGCCCAAATTCCACCTCCTTGTTTAATAACTCAGTGAAAAGACAAAGGCAATCCACCCTTTTCAGGCACCAATGGAACTCACCCACTTGCTTAGCCTCCACAGCAGCTGTGTATTCACGACTGAAACTGAGCTCTGTGATAGCCACATCATCCAGGATGAGGCTGAAATCCTTGGCTCTCTCTGTCAGCTCTCGCCTAATGAGCAGAGACACCTGAAACACAAACACAGCAACAAGAGTAGCACCAGGCACAGGGTGCTCCTCGCTTCCTGAGCACTCCAAAGGCAAAGCACGACTGCTCTTCACAGTGCTGGGAGAGACATTCCCCAGCCTGAGCTCCAAACCACGGACATCAACACCATCTGAGTAACATATCCACAGCCACAGAAAGCATTTTTAAAACTCTATTACAGCTCATTTATAGTTACTACTAAACTGTTCTATGCAAGTAACACTGTGAAAGCAAAAAACCTTGAAAGTGTCTTTTGCTTTCACATCCTGACACATCCAGTTCTATAGTTCCCACAGTTTTGGCAATAAGCATTTCTTTATCTACCCTGGATTTGGCACTGTTTGGAGGCTGTGCTTTCATAACTGTACTCCAACACAAAAAAAGAAATGACCACATAATTTTTTAACCTGTATCACATCTCTTAGTTACAGTAGCTACTTGTCTAGTGTAGCTACTCCACTTTTTTGGCTGCTTTGGGTGGGTGTTGCTGTTAGCTACTTTGATTTATTCCACACTTACTTTACTTCCCAGCACCTTTTTCAGGCAGCCTGACAAGTCCTGCACCAAATATTGACTTAAACAGAAACTATTGCTACAGTATCACATGCTTGGCCAGTCGAGCATTTTCTTTTACTTTTACTGCAGCTGTTTCTGAGCAGAACTCTAAACAGCGACAGAAACCTTTTCTGTGTGAACTGAGAGTGCACAACTACATGAAGTCACCGAATTTTTTTCTATCAATCCCTTTACATCACTTTATAACAACAAACACTGGATGGATACATGACAAGAAAACAAATGCAATTCAGTTTGTTCCAAAATTTCAGAGATCAAAGAATGATTCTTATCTGAGATCACAGATGCTTAACAGCCTTTGCTTCCAGCACAGCTGAAACCCTCACAGATATTCTTTGCTGTCCCATCCTCACCACACATTCTCTTCCTACATGAAGAGCAACAAATCCCTCCAGAACACTCCATGTGGAGGAGCACAAAACCCTGAAGCCCCTTACCAGGGGGATGCAGATAATTTCTTACAACAAAACCTGAGGACACTCAGTTCTGCTCTTTGGTTCTTTTGACATGGATCAGAGATGTGGTCTCCAACAGCTGAGAGATGCTTTGTACTTCACCTAACAACTTTTCCTCTTCAGCACCCTCCTGGTCCTGCAGGAGGTCCTCTAAAACCTTTTACAACAAGACCAGCACCCCCTCCCTGCACCAGCTGCTACAGAGGATAAGAACTCTCAGAATCCCTGGCAATCAAACTGTTACAACACAAACTTTCACAAACAGGCATTTTTAAGCCAGATATTTGTAATATTTTGCAACACTCCCCCAGAGGACACTCTAAGCTTTTTCTAATCAGTGCCTGCAGAGAGGGTGCCAAGACACTGAGCCAGGCCCTTCCCAGTGATGTCAAACAATAAAACAAGAGGCAATGGGCAGAAACCAGAACACAGGAAGCTCCACCTGAACATGAGGAATAGCTTCTTTACTGTGCAGGTGACAGAGCACTGTAACAGGCTGCCCAAGGAGCTCGTGGAGTCTCCCTCACTAGAGACATTCCAGAACCATCTGGATGCAATCCTGTGCCATGTGCTCTGGGATGACCTTGCTTGAGCAGGGAAGCTGGACCAGATGACCCACTGTGGTCCTTTCCAACCTGACCCATTCTGTGACTGTAAACAGAAGCTTATTGCTACCTTCCCGAAGCATCCCTCACTAACAGGTTAGTGCACTGTTAACTGCTCGTTCCCATTGTTTTTCAGATCTTTCAAAACTGCTTAATTTGCTCCCACGGTCAGAGGATACCGAACGGTTCCAGGACTTAAAGGTATTAACTGCTCGTTCCCATTGTTTTTCAGATCTTTCAAAACTGCTTAATTTGGTCGGAAGATACCGAACGGTTCCAAGACTTAAAGGTGCGATTAACGAAAGCCCCAGTTTTGAGTCTGCCTAATTTAAGAAAACCATTTGATTTGTTTGTTAATGTTAATGAAGGGACAGCATATGTAGTAACAACACAAGACTGGGGGGAAGCAGGAAGCTGGTGGCTTATCTATTAAAATTATTGGATCCGGCTGCAAGAGGGTGGCCAGCCTGTATTCAAGCTGTGGCAGTCACAGCTACCTTGCTGACAGCGTTCAGAGATCTGTATTCTTAAAGCCACTTCCACAGACACCTGTGGACCACAAAGCAAACCAGCTCTCCCTCCCCTAGTGTTACATTCTGGTGCAGTTTTGCACTCTGTGCACCAACAGACCCAGTTTCCTCCTCAGAAGCTGCCAACACAGTATTTGTACCTGTACTGGAATTAAACTGTACGTGGGACACGCTTCCCACGTGGATGCACTGCCCCCCAGCTGACCGCAGTCACCCTTCTTTCCCCTGCCAGGAGGCTCCCCCCACCCAGCAGCTCCTCTGTGAGCGGAGCTAAGGCTCACCTGGGCCCTCTGTGTGATGAGCTGCGAGGCGTTGAACTTGGCCACGACGCTCTTGAGCACCTCGTTGACGATGGAGGGCAGCACTCGCTCCTCGTAGTCCAGCCCCAGCCGCTGGTACATGCTGGGCAGCTCGGCCGCGTTGGGCCGCGTCAGCACCCGCAGCGAGATGTTCACCATCTGCAGGTCTGCGGGGACAGCAGGGCTCAGGGGACAGCCGGGCTCAGGGGACAGCGGGGCTCAGGGGACAGGCAGGGCTCAGGGGACAGCCGGGCTCAGGGGACAGCCGGGGCTCAGGGGACAGGCAGGGCTCAGGGGACAGCCGGGGCTCAGGGCACAGCCGGGGCTCAGGGATGGCACAGGGAGCAGGCGGCACCAACGGGGACAGGGACATTTTGGTTGGGAATGAGGAAGAAATCCTTTCCGGTGAGGGTGGCGAGGCACTGGCACGGGTTGCCCAGGGAAGCTGCGGATGGCCCTGCCCTGGAGGTGCTCACGACCGGGTCGGATGGGGCTTTGAGAAACCTGGTCTGGGGTAAGGTGTCACTATCCGCGGCACGAGATTGTGACTGAACGATTTTTAAGGTCTGTTTCAAGCCCTTAACATTCCATAAGTGTCTGAGGAGCGCCAGAAGTACGGCCGAATTCCTGTCCCGTGCCTCCCACCTCGTGGCCCCTCTGTCTCACCTTTGGAACCAGTGGGGGAGGAGATTTTCCGCGGCCGCGCTCGGATGTCGTAGATGATGGGATACTGGAACCAGGGGATCCTGCGGGAGCGGAGGCGCGTTAGGGGCGAGGGCCCCGCCGGGCCCGGGGGCCGGGAGGGGACCGGGGGGGGCCGGGCCCTACCTGAAGTGCAGCCCCTCGGCCAGGATGGTGTCCTGCTGCACGCCGCCGATGCGGTTGAAGAAGATGGCGCGCTGGCCGCCCTCCACTGCGGAGAGAGAGCGGAGGTTTGGTTAGCACGGGCGGCGGGCGCGAAGGATCCGAGCGGTTGGGGGGGACTCCACTCACCGATGAAGACGGACTCTCGCACGCCGTAGGCCAGGGCACCGGCGCCCAGCAGCAGCTTAAGCGCGGTGCCCACGCCGCGGGGCCCGGTCGGCAGCCGCCCCGCCAGGTCCTTCAGGTTCTGCGCCATGGCCGCCCCGCCGCCGCCCCCGCCGGGAAGGACACCGGAAGGAGCGACAGCCGTGCCGCTCCGGCGGGAAACCGCGGCGCCGGGAGCGCCCCCGCTGCCCCTTCCCGCCCCCAGCACTCGCCTTCCGGCGCGGCGGCCGTAGCGCTCCGGAAGCGGGTCCGGCCGGAGCCAGATAGAGAGCGCGCCCCGGCGCCATCTTGGGTGGCCGCGGCGGGAAGGGCGGGGCCGGGGCGGGGCCGGCGGGGCCGCGTGACAAAATGGCGGCGCCCAGGCGGGCACGTGGGGACGCGGCGGAGGAGGAGGAAGATGAAGGGCGCTCGCTGGGGGCCAAGCGGCCCCGCGGGCAGCGCCGGCTCCTGGTCGTGCTGGAGGGGGCGAGCCTGGAGACCGTGAAGGTGCGCGCGGCGGGAGATCGGGGCGGGTTCGGCCGTGCCCGCGATGCTCTCGCTCCCCGCTGACCCGTGCGTGCTTTGGCCCTAGGTGGGGAAGACGTTCGAGCTGCTCAACTGCGACAAGCACAAGGCGCTGCTGCTGCGGAACGGCCGGGACCCCGGGGAGGTGCGGCCTGACATCACCCACCAGGTACCCGCTGGCTCCGGGGCTGCTCGGGGTAGCCCGGCAGGGCAGCTCGGGGCCATCGTGCCTCGGCACCGGGGCTCCGCTTGTGGCCCCGGAGCCCGGGGCCATCGTGCCTCGGCACCGGGGCTCCGCTTGTGGCCCTGGAGCCCGGGGCCATCGTGCCTCGGCACCGGGGCTCCGCTTGTGGCCCTGGAGCCCGGGGCCGAGTCCGGCCTCCCCCGCTGCGCTGGTGGGTTTTGGGTTGAGTCGCTGTTTGGGTCTGGGCTTGATTTCTTAGCATTATAGCGATACATCCCATAGTGGGATGAGCTTTCAGCCTCAGCATTGGCCTCTTCTGCATTTGTGGGGGCTAACCGTCAATTTTCCCTAGAATTCTGTCTCCTGTGCATTTCTATTCCCTCTACCGTGTGCTTTTTGCTTTCAGAGTCTCCTGATGCTGATGGACAGCCCCCTGAATCGGGCTGGGCTCCTGCAGGTTTATATCCATACCAAGAAGAATGTTCTCATTGAAGTCAATCCCCAAACCAGAATCCCAAGGACTTTTGATCGATTCTGTGGGCTTATGGGTTAGTGATTTAAACTCTACACCAGCTATCAAATAATGCAGGAAGGTGGTCAGAACTGGGGAAGCTTCGGGAAAAGTTGAAAACTGGCACTGACCTTAAAATGTGAAAGAGAGGAAAGAATAGAGAAGTGAAAGCACCTTTCTGGAATGTTCCAGGATGCATACCCCAGCTGTGTGCCCCTTAGCACAGGGGGGAGTGCCTGCAGGAGGCTGTGCTGTCAGCAAAATAAGTTTTTTCAGGCTGAGATAGGAACTCTAAAGGTGGACTTTTTGTGTACCTCAGCTCAGGCAAAACATGGGATTCATCCAGCAAATCACCAAACAGCTCAAGTGATTTTTTTCTTGTTTTCTCTTTGCCAGTTCAGCTGCTGCATAAGCTCAGTGTCAGAGCAGCTGACGGGCCTCAGAAACTGCTGAAGGTAAATATTCTGTAACTGTTCACAGCTAAGGTTGCAACATCCTAATGGCAATGTAGGAGGGACTTTTTCTTGCGGGGGGAGGTGTTTTTTGGCTGGGGGTCCCGGTTGTGGGTGTGGTTGCTGTTCTATCCCAGCCCATCCTTGCTGGGGGTCCTGGTTTCAGGGGGGCTCTCCCACATGCTACCTGGCTAGGAGCTGCTGCTGCAGGAAGGAAACCCCAAACACACCTGTCCTTGGAGCTGAGGGATCTGTTTCCTCACGTGAGCCTGACTGCCACGCCTGGACACTGACACTTTTTGGGCACAGCTTTCAAAATGGCAGAGGGAGGTGGAAATCAAGATACAACTAACTTGAGTGGCTTCTGCAGTCACAGAGGGGAAGACTGGATAAACCACAGGGACAAAGGATTTATCATGATAGTGAATTCCTTGGATGAAGAACTACCCTTGTTGCTGGAAATATCGGAAAAGCAGCAGCCTGAGGAAGGTGATGGTGATGTGATCTTGGCAGAGAAGGCTTGGCCCTAGCCAGTGCACCTCCCTGAGGGCACAGGGCAGCAGGCAGGCCAGCGAGACTCCCAGAAGCAAAGAAGAACTAACCATGACTTAAATGTGTGTTGTAACTTTCTTCTGGAAAATCTGGATTCCTCAAAGAAGGAGAGTGGTTTTAAATCCCAGCAGCAGCCTGCTTGCCAGCCAGGATGAGACAGAATTGCCTAAAGGGGACTATATAGGTCCTCCATGCCTGCTGTGCCTGCTTCAGGAGCGTTTTCCAGGTACACACTGAGGCTGGCAACATCTGGACACACCTGCTGGGGTTTGTTCTGTCCCTGTGCTGGGCATCCTGACCCTGCTGCCCAATGAGTACTTCATGGCTTCTTTGCAGAAGGTGGTGTTTGGGATGCTCTTCTGGGAGCAGTGCTGTGCCTCAGCTTCTCCTGGCTATTCTGTATTGCCTGCTGTCACTTGGAGAAGGTCTTGTGGACTTTTTTGATTCTGGATTACTCAGGAATTGCACTGCTGCTCATGGGGAGCTCTGCTACTCATTCTACTGCTCCCCACATCCAAGACTCATGTACCTCTACATCACCTGTATCCTGGGCTTATCTCAACCCATCTGGGATTGGTTTTGCTCAAGGACCTGGGTGTACTTGGTGGTAATCAGGAGGACAGGGAAACAGGATGTGTACCTCAAGGGGTTTTGATTTTTGGGCGAGGGCAGTCTGTGATGTTGAATTGTGTACGCGGTGTTGGTTGTGGAATGACAGCACCACTGTATTTTGTAAATACCATAGACAGTGAGGATGGACTGCTCCAGATGCACCGGTCATGAGCTCCTGATGCAGCCTGCAGCCAGCTGATGCATTTTTTGTTTGTCTGTTGCTTTTAGCAAACAATGCATCTAGCTACATGTCAGGGCCCGTTACCTCTACACCCCTATTAATTTTCTGCTTTCTGTAGGTGATTAAAAATCCAGTCACTGACCACCTGCCCGTGGGCTGTACGAAGATTGGCACCTCTTTTGCAGTGTCACAGGTGTCAGATCTGCGTGAGCTGGTTCCTGCAGCAGAGCCAGTTGTCATTGTGGTCGGAGCTTTTGCCCACGGCTCGGTAAGTGTGTGCATCCCTTATCTGGGGTTGTGAAAAGGTTTCAGTCTTGTTCTGTGAATGGAGGTTTTATCTGCCCTTTCTTGGCTTGATTTCCCCTTCTCTCAGCCCCCCATTTTCCCCTGTATGCTTGTCAAAAAAAGGCCCAAAACTGCAACACTTGGGACTGTTGTCCCTCCAAAGGGAGGGCATTAGTGAAAGCTGGCAGTTTCCCTGCTGAGGAAATACTGTGCCTCTGCAGTTCTCAGGGTTGGAGATTTCCCCTTCTCTCAGCCCCCCATTTTCCCCTGTATGCTTGTCAAAAAAAGGCCCAAAACTGCAACACTTGGGACTGTTGTCCCTCCAAAGGGAGGGCATTAGTGAAAGCTGGCAGTTTCCCTGCTGAGGAAATACTGTGCCTCTGCAGTTCTTAGGGTTGGAAGGGATCTCTGGAGATTGTCCACTCCAACCCCCTGCCAAGGCAGGGTCACCTGGAGCAGGTGACACAGGAACGTGTCCAGGCGGATTTTGAATGTCGCCAGAGAAGGAGACTCCACAACCTCCCTGGGCAGCATGTTGAGTCCTCTGCCACCCTCATCATAAAGAAGTTCTTCCTCATGTTGTGGTGAAACTTCTTGTGTTTTAGTTCCTTGCCCTGCTCCTTGCCCTGTTGCTGGGCACCAGAGGAAAGAGTCTGGCACCATCCTCTTGGCACCCACCCTGGAGATATTTATGTGCATTAATGAGATCGCCTGTCAGTCTTCCCTTCCCTAGACAAAACAGGCCCTGCAGTCTCTCCTCATAAGAGATGGTTCCATGTCCTAATAATCTTTCTTGCCTCTGCTGCACCCTCTGCAGTGGCTCCTTGTCTTTCTTGTACTAATGGAGATGGGGCTCAGTGAAAACTTTTTGCAACTTGGTAATTTTTTTTTTCTATTTCCCCCCTCTTCTCCCAGGTCAATGTTGACTATACAGAAAAGATGATCTCCATCAGCAACTATCCCCTTTCTGCTGCCCTGACGTGTGCTAAAATTACTACTGCCTTTGAGGAAGTGTGGGGAGTAGTATGAGCTTCTGCTGCTACTGCTGTCAGGATGGACTTGCATACAGTGACTTCACATTCTGGAAGGGCTCTTTGACTTGGGTGTGGAGCTGGTGCAGCTTTGGGCTCCTGGAAAACACTTCAACTTCGTCCTTGGAGCTTCTGAAACAATGAGACTTTAAACGGACTGCCCCACTGACCCTTTTTCCTCCTATTAAAGGTACCTTTTTTGAGTAAAAAGCACTCGTGAATTTTACTTTCTCATTTTTCATATGTGGGCAGGCCGGATCCCCTTATAGCAGGGACTTGGCCCAAATTTGTCACAGAACTGGAATTCTTAGCTGTGCCCTGCTCACCCTGGTGTCACTCAGTCCCGTAGAATCGCCTTGCTCGGCGGCATGTGACAGTTCACACTCCCACACCGAGGCACCCAAGAGGAAAGGAGCTGAAGCCGATGTTAAAAAGACCAGGAGCAATTTTTTTATCTTAGATGACAAACGTAGAAAAGTCAGAAGGTGGCTCCAATCCAACGCAGCACCTGCCGTGAGTGTGGTACAATCATCTGGTATCAGCGGAGAGACGAGTGCCGGCCGCGGGGCGGCAGAGATAAGGCAACAGACAGAAGGTGGAGGGTCTCAAGGAGGCTCGCTCGGATCCCCTCCTTTCGGGTCTCTGACCCTGTGCTTTCTCCTTCCCCCTCCTCGCGTTGAAAAATAGTCATACTTCAACACAGCAAACTTGGCAGGTGATGCTTTGCTTCCGGAGTGTTAAATCAACTCCTACGAATGCACAGGTGGTACAATCTGAAAAACAGAGGCGCCCTGTATTTGCTTCAGTTGATTCCAGGTTTGCCTTTCACCCTGGGCTGCAGCACTCCTGCCCCACTTTACCTCCTGGTCTCTACCTCATACAGCCTTACCTTTTGGCTGTTATTCTGCTCTTTTTAGCTTTTCTTTTCGTGGCACGATTAATCTGCGAATGTAAGGCAACACCAGCAGTAAGGTGAAGAACAACACGTGGCCGAAGAAATAAATAGACCTGTACACCTGTAAAGAGAAAGGCAGGGTTGGGGATCAGCAACCAGCTTTAAGCCAAGAACACAGGGGAGGGGATGGAGGGAACAGGGTGGACCATGTGGGGTCGTCTGTTTGTGGCTTCTAAATACCTTCATCCATTTGTCCCAGGTGAAGAGGCAAAATGGCACCAGGGAGTAGCCCATGAACATCCAGTGGTTAGTCTGCTGCAGCACGTAGAAGATGGGCCGCAAGACAGTGATGGAGGCCAAAGTGCTTAGGGCAGGACTGTCCCGAACAAGGTTCATGGCCTAATTGAAAGAAAAAAAAGCAGAATTCTCAACAGTTAGATGTCCTGTGGCTGTATATGCAGGCTCTGGGGCCAAAGTTCTCTATCCAGCTGTGTAAAATGTGTTTTACTAAGCAGCTAGTCTAAAAAAGTAGGTAAATCCCCTGTCCTGGCCAAAGTTTTAATTAAGAAAATACATCTTAATAAGGAATATTGTTCCTGCAGTACTGGGAGATTTAACAGAAGTATTCAGCTCATGTGTTTGTCCTCCAGTCCTTCCAACTGCCAAGCACTTCAGCCACCCTCTGTTCATATGCCAAGCTAAAATTACTACTGCCTTTGAGGAAGTGTGGGGAGTAGTATGAGCTTCTGCTGCTACTGCTGTCAGGATGGACTTGCATACAGTGACTTCACATTCTGGAAGGGCTCTTTGACTTGGGTGTGGAGCTGGTGCAGCTTTGGGCTCCTGGAAAACACTTCAACTTCGTCCTTGGAGCTTCTGAAACAATGAGACTTTAAACGGACTGCCCCACTGACCCTTTTTCCTCCTATTAAAGGTACCTTTTTTGAGTAAAAAGCACTCGTGAATTTTACTTTCTCATTTTTCATATGTGGGCAGGCCGGATCCCCTTATAGCAGGGACTTGGCCCAAATTTGTCACAGAACTGGAATTCTTAGCTGTGCCCTGCTCACCCTGGTGTCACTCAGTCCCGTAGAATCGCCTTGCTCGGCGGCATGTGACAGTTCACACTCCCACACCGAGGCACCCAAGAGGAAAGGAGCTGAAGCCGATGTTAAAAAGACCAGGAGCAATTTTTTTATCTTAGATGACAAACGTAGAAAAGTCAGAAGGTGGCTCCAATCCAACGCAGCACCTGCCGTGAGTGTGGTACAATCATCTGGTATCAGCGGAGAGACGAGTGCCGGCCGCGGGGCGGCAGAGATAAGGCAACAGACAGAAGGTGGAGGGTCTCAAGGAGGCTCGCTCGGATCCCCTCCTTTCGGGTCTCTGACCCTGTGCTTTCTCCTTCCCCCTCCTCGCGTTGAAAAATAGTCATACTTCAACACAGCAAACTTGGCAGGTGATGCTTTGCTTCCGGAGTGTTAAATCAACTCCTACGAATGCACAGGTGGTACAATCTGAAAAACAGAGGCGCCCTGTATTTGCTTCAGTTGATTCCAGGTTTGCCTTTCACCCTGGGCTGCAGCACTCCTGCCCCACTTTACCTCCTGGTCTCTACCTCATACAGCCTTACCTTTTGGCTGTTATTCTGCTCTTTTTAGCTTTTCTTTTCGTGGCACGATTAATGTGCGAATGTAAGGCAACACCAGCAGTAAGGTGAAGAACAACACGTGGCCGAAGAAATAAATAGACCTGTACACCTGTAAAGAGAAAGGCAGGGTTGGGGATCAGCAACCAGCTTTAAGCCAAGAACACAGGGGAGGGGATGGAGGGAACAGGGTGGACCATGTGGGGTCGTCTGTTTGTGGCTTCTAAATACCTTCATCCATTTGTCCCAGGTGAAGAGGCAAAATGGCACCAGGGAGTAGCCCATGAACATCCAGTGGTTAGTCTGCTGCAGCACGTAGAAGATGGGCCGCAAGACAGTGATGGAGGCCAAAGTGCTTAGGGCAGGACTGTCCCGAACAAGGTTCATGGCCTAATTGAAAGAAAAAAAAGCAGAATTCTCAACAGTTAGATGTCCTGTGGCTGTATATGCAGGCTCTGGGACCAAAGTTCTCTATCCACCTAGTAAGCAGCTAGTCTAAAAAAGTAGGTAAATCCCCTGTCCTGGCCAAAGTTTTAATTAAGAAAATACATCTTAATAAGGAATATTGTTCCTGCAGTACTGGGAGATTTAACAGAAGTATTCAGCTCATGTGTTTGTCCTCCAGTCCTTCCAGCTGCCAAGCACTTCAGCCACCCTCTGTTCATATGCCAAGTTTTCCAGTTCTCTCCCTGTCAGCTTCTGCAATATATTTATGGTTTGCACACACAGAAGGCAGCAACCTACTGAACTCTTAAGAACAAAACCCTGCCATGCTTGAAAACCAATTCCAAAGCAAGCAGCTATTTTTCATACTTCATGCAAGCAAAGCCTTTGGAGTGGCGCTTTCCAGGCTCGGGGGCAGAGGCTAACGCAGGCCCCCCCGTTCTGGTAAGTCAGACAAAGCGCACCTGTCTTTCCACGATGACTATCAGCAGCTCCATCTGAAAGCACACCAGGTAGCCAGAGTGCAGCCCGTGCCAGATGGCCAGGAAGAACAGGGCCAGTGCCTGTGACAGCAGTTTGTTGCCCAGGAACTTCAAGCGCTTGAAGATGTAGCTAGAGCAGAAAAGAAACAAAGAGCTTCCAGGTTATTCCCTGCCCTCCCCTGGCTGTGTCAGGGATGAAGGGCCCAGGGGACCCAATGCCTTTGCACGCCCTGTGGTGGGAGGAACAGCATGACCAGGACAAAACCTACATCAAAACAGTCTTAAAGAAATCCCAGCTATAAGGGGGAGAAGGGGGGTCATTAAAATTTGGCTGTGGGTCCCAGCAAGTGCTGAACCAAAACCCATCCGAGTTTGGAGTGGGGAGCACCAAGAGCCATGATGCAGGAAGCAGCTGTCAGAGCAGCTCTGTGGCTGGCTGAGCAGGCAGGCAGCCCCAAGGGCTCGCTGTAGATTCCCATTCCAGTCTCTGCTGCCATCAACTGCTTGCCTTTATTAATGAACTGCCCTTCCAGGTGAATTAATAGATCTCTCTAACCCAGTACCCCAATAACCTGTTTCTAAGGGCACAGCAGCAAAACATGGGAAAAAGTGCACAAACTGAAAACCGGCAGACTCTTCCTCTAGTGCTCCTGCTTAGCCTAAGGTCTTGGTTCTGCTGACAGAACAGAACTGACACGTTCTAGAAGGAGAATTTTGTCCTGCTCACCGGGCCACCCAAGCATTGGTGTTGATGTTGAAAGAAGCAATGGTCCCTGTGAACAAAGGTGTTGTCTCATACAGCCAGACCTTCATGTTGGCACAGGCATTCCACAAAGGCTTTCCGTTCTGGTCTTTCCCATTGTACCCCAGACCAACAAGGATGCAGACACCTTCCTATCAAAAAATGCACAAGAAAGATAAGATGAAGATATTGCCCTACTTTTGCTGGAGAAGCAGAGCTGAGGAAGTGCTGACTCTCACTGTGTTGAGAGCATCACTACAGATGGAACAAATGGATTAAAAACTGCCTTTTAGTTAGCTAGCCTTTGCTAACGTAAAGCAAGCTGAACTGACCTGCACTGATCTCCAGATATTTGGATTTCTTCCATTTAGTGCTAAGTCCAAGAGGCTTGGACCTTTATTCATTTGTCTTTTGCTTCTGGAACAACATCTAGACTCACCGTAACAAGCCAGCAAGTTACATATTTGTAGAGTATCATTTTGCCCCAGATCAATATGTAACCACAACGAAACCAGAAAGGCTTCTCCTGCAGAGATAAGAGTGAAACAGAGTAAAAATAAAACCTGGAGTTGAGTGGCCATAATGACACAAGGTATTTCATCATGGTCTTTTGTTTTTTTCTGTGTTAAGACTGGGCTGTCAGGCTTATGCAAACTTACACATCATTCTCTTTCCTTTGGTAATATTTGGCTGTATTGAAATAGGTAGAGTTTGGGAAGACTCTAGGATTAGCATAATCAAAATGCTTGCTGATAATCTGACAGTAGGAGTTATTTGTTAGGAGCTTTCCAAGAATGTCAAAGATTATGGTAAGCCTTACAAGTTACTCTAGTGAAATTCTCTGCACATAATGGTTAAATGGAAAGTCATTACAAGGTCATAAAATACATACGTTAGGTATGAAAACCAACAGTAGCATTTAAGATCAATTCTGTTTGTGAAAGTTTTCATTTGTTTCAGTTCTGCTTAACAGATTGCTGTTCTGCATCAGGTGGAATCATCAGGACAGGCAGTAAAGCCAAATTAGCTGTGGAAAATCTTATCATATAAGATGCTGCTTATCATAATAGTTGCTGACTTATTTTTAAATTGAGGCCAAAAAAAAAAAAAATTCCACTCCTGTAGATCCAGTGCCCACCAGAGAAGTGCAATTCTTCCACACCCCACAAGGCCAAGTGAATACATACCATGTACTCATCTGAGGTGAGGTACTCATCAGAGACATACAGGCTCGACAAGGTGTAGGTTACTAGAAACAAGAGACCCAGGCTCAGACGCTTGAGAGCAGGCACAAAACTGAGAAAGAAAAATACCAAGGTCAAAGAACTGCCTTGGAAAGAGACCATCAAACTCATAGTTTTAAAAACAGAGGTGGAGAGGAGGAGGTAGGGGAGACAGCGATAGGGAGTCACCACATTCCACTGCAGCAGATGCCTCCATTTGGAAGCTGGGATGCAAACATCACCAGGTTGGAACTGAGTCTATACTAAAGATGTCAAATGGTTGTTGATGTTCATGCCCTGGAACAATGCCGGGACATTAAGCAGAGTTACGAGCGACTTTTGAAAGACTGCCTTGTCTCATAAATCACTCCTGGTCACAGTAGTTCTGTGTCCAGGTAAGAAGGCAGTCTGCTGCAGGGAACGTGGAGGAGCCGGCTTTCTAGGATCTTAGGAAGGGGAGAAGCCAAGCAGCTTTGTATTACCTATTGGGTCTCTGGCCTGGAACGTCAGTCATCTCACCCCTTGCCAGTTTCTGATAGTCTGTCATGGAGAACTGAGGCCCAACCATGAAGGCACCATAGAAATAGGAGAATCCTGAGACCTCCAGCAAGGTAGGAACCCCCCGAACAGCGAATTGCTGCTGCTCAGGGGTCAGGAACTCCTGCACCAAAGGGAGTGGCATTAACATCATCCCAGGAATTTCATCCAGCTCTGGATGTTATGTCCTCACCCTGCCTCCTTTCTGGTTTCAGTTCTTGCTCCCCATGGACATGGAACTTTACACTTTGTACTTCATGTCCATTCCTCTCCCCAGCCCTCTCTGTGCCCACCCCCTCCAAACAGCAACAAGATCCAACGGTTGAGACCAGTTGCACAGGTCTCTATTCCCAAATAAGCTCCAAATGTGGAAGGGATCCACTGATGTGCATTCCTGGCAGCAGAGTAGGAGCACTGTATCTGATCTATTCCAGTACCTGACTGCACGTTGATGTACTCTCCCAGGACCTTATCGTGCTACAATTCCTACTTCTTGATGCAAAAATTATTTTTAAATACTTGAAGCTTCAGGTGAGGAAGTTTCATTTTGACCTCATTTTCCTGCAGTCAGCAGTGATTCCATGGATGCTACGGACTTGGTCAGGCCTCAAACAGGAGATGGGGAATGCAGGTACTTGAAGCAGGACTGAGGGACTGTAGCATGTGTAGTGCCCTCTCCCACACACTGTGCTGTGCAACTTCTCTGTTTCTCTGAGCTAAACACAGGGTCCTAACAAATGGTAAAGGGCAACCACTGACAAGCACATGATGAGACTAATCGAAGGAAAGGAAAATGGGAACAGAGATCCAGTACTGATCGTCTGCAAGTTAAAGGTACACTACCCACAAGGCACAGAGCACCAGTGATTGGGAATCTAAAGCAATAGATTTGGGGGAAGGAGATGGTGGGGAATTTGGAAGGGTGCAGAGTAATATTTTGACATAAATGGAAAAACTTCTGTCCATCTCTAATCACTACTGTCTCTGTTCCAAATTATTTTGTTCCAGTCTAGAATTCAGTGCTCTCAAACACTCCCAGAGGCTCCCCTCTCAGCTGTGGCTTTTACCTAACAATGCAGCTTGCTAACTCACATCCTTTGAACTTGATTTTCTGATCTCTAGCTCACTGGGACAGCATGGAATGACGGAGAAATGGTGTCTAACTCACCGGATCTTTTCCTCCATCATAGTAATCAATGGCCAGACCTAGAGGTGAGAAACAGTGACTTGAAGCCCTGGGATGGGCTCAGCTTGCAAAGTGCAAGAGAGAGAAGAGAGGTGTCACTCACCAATCAACTTAAGCGTCAAGACACAATGTGGCATTGTCCACTTGATGTCATAATGCTCTGTGGCTGTGAAGTAATATCCAGCCATAAGGTATGTCTGAAAGAAACCATTGTTTGGGTTATTCAAACTAATTCCTCCAGCTGGTTTTGATCTGCCTCCACTTCTCCACCCACAGTTGCTACTGAAGTGCTGAACTGAACAGAGGCCTCCCTTCTACAAACCCAGGGAGTAAGAAAGAGGGTTTACCATCTGAAAGAGAAATGTGGTGATGACGGCAGTGATTGTGCGACCCATTAGTCTCAGTATCAGGAACTGGATTAGGACACATATCAGGGAATGAAAAAACTGCGTCCCTGTGGGCAGGAAAAAGAGAGATGAGAAATAGAAATTACATGCATGGGTCCTCCCAAATCGCAGCATGCCCTGGGCCAGGCAGCTCTCTCTTCCCAAACTCATCTTACCAAAATTGAAGTAAGCAATTGAGAGTCCCGTGAACACATTGTAGAGGTGAATGAGGTAGGTCTCCTTCTGGAAGAGGAAATAGCGCTGGAACAAGGCAAAAGGATATCCTGAGAGAAAAAAAAAAAAAAAGGAAGAGTTGTAAATAAGTTTAGACAAGTATTTGTCATGAACCAAACTATAGCCTTTCTGAACATGTCATTAGGAACGTGTACTTTACATCACACACTATCCACACAGGGCATGGTGTTAATTCCTGATACTGCATTTGGGAGACAGACTCCAGATGAATTACTCTGTACCGAAGAAAATACTTTAACAGGAACGTAATTGTAGCAAAACTGACATTGAAGTGCAAAAAATTACAGGATTACATTTTCTGGCCTCATTCAATATATGAGATGGATAATGCTGAAATACATGAATCACACTTTAGCCTGTGATTCATTTCCAAATTATGTGACAAATCCAATGAACATGGCAAGAAGCTAGATTAAAAAAAAAAAAAGGCGGGGGGGAAGGGAAAAACTTTATGGTTAATACCATTACAACGTCCAAAAAACCTCAGTCCCACTCCCACCTCAATGAGTTCTTTCAGCTTTAATTTCAGAGCTCCTCAGGTGACCTCCGGTAAGATACTCTCAATTTTCTAACCCTGCTACTTCGGATTTGCATCTGATTTGTGAACTACTGGGTACACAAAGCTGTAACTAAAATCCACTGGTACTACGCATGTGGTATTTTTGGATAAAAAAAACTCAGTCAGAAGCATTTCATATGGAACAGCTAAGAAAAATGCAAGGGGTTTTTCCTTTGCATTTTCTGTGAGGTAACTCCTAGTCTAAGTTAGGAATGCCTCCACATTATTCGTCTGTGGCTCAAGTGAGAAGCAAACATTTGTGAAGCACTCTGGTAGTACAGTGAGAAGCGTCACACAGAACACCACAATTCAATTAAATTCTGTTGTCTAGGTGAGTTTCACGAAGCATGCAATAAACACTGCCACACAGTAGACAGTAAATATAATAAGTCTTAATACACAGTGGCACAGGAAGCGTTGCAATTAGCTTTTCTAAAGCCATGTGCACAAGGCGCTGAACTGGGATACAACAAGCCCCCTTAATTCTGGCATCTTGTAACTTTATTGCTCTACGTTGCAAGCCTGTGCATTCTCTTACCCTGCTCAAAAAAAAGGGGAAATTCATCACATACCACAATACCGGCATCCACACTACTTATCATCCTGGCTGAAATCGGGAGCAGTGGATGGAGCTCTGCTACCTGCACTAATGGAGTAGCGGTAGCAGGAGGTGGTCATGTTTTATATGGAGCAGTAATAAAAGGTGATGAAATGCACACTCTGCCGAGAAGTGTATGATGGATGGAAGGCTTCCAATAAGCAAGGCCAAGTCTAGTCACTACTGTGAGAGGAAATGAGAAACTCTGTCACGTTATTTAAATACATGTCTGGCAGTCTGGCAGTGCTCACAGGCTGGAGCCATTTTAAGGCCCTCTCCAAACCCACAAATCCCTTGGGAGGGAGCCCTGGAGTTGGGGACTTTGGGGCTCTTTTCTAGATCCTTTTGGGCTCATGTTCTGCTGCGTCCAGATGTGTACCTGCCACCTCCAGATGTGTACCTGCCGCCTCCTGACGCCGAGCTGCTGCTCCCCATTTCCTCAGCTTCCTGCCACCCCTCTTTCGGTTTTCCCTGCCTCCTTGTTGCTGTTCCTTCCTCCTTTTGTGTCCCACGCCGGTTTCCACGCCATAGGCTGCTTTCTGGCCAGCCCCACATACCACGGCTCTCCGCTCCCAGAGCCTGGCAACCTCCCTCCTGCACATCCAGCCTGCTCTCCCTTCCAAAACTGCGGCTCCAAACTCCCCTACAAAATGCCTCACCCAAGTCATCCCTCTCCCTTCCCGCTCTTCCATGCTTTTTACACAGCCCACTTCTGTCCTGTCCCACCCCCACTGCTGGCCTGAGCACCAGCTGAGGGGGAAAGAGGGAATTGGCAAAGAGAGTTCATCACACGGGCTCTCTGGGGATACAGGAGTAACTCAAAGAATTAGAGCAATACACATGATTAAAAAAAGAAAAAGAAGGAAAAAAAAAGTAGTATTTTCTACTGGCCTTTTACTCAGAAACATACAAATGGGGATTCTTTGTTCATGAGCCAATCTTCCTGCTGAAGTTTAAAAACCATAGGAAGAACTGCTTTGAGAAACGGAAAGTGGTAAAAAATATCAAGTTTTACTATCAGAGTAGATCAAAAGTTAAAAAGCTGAGGTTTACTGTGGAAAAAATGTTTTCCCCTTCTGAGCAAAGGGGAGAAAAATCAGAAATACAGGCAAAGCACAACTGACTGCTGTTCATCAATATGCATGGTTTTAAACCTTCATTTTCAAGGGTCTCCCACTCTCTTAAAAACCACTAATATTTTGCAAACCAGTCAATTTCTACCAAAATTTTTTACCCTCTAGCCATTTCTACAGACATAATTAAAGCATGACTGAATACTATAATGTAACTAATGTTCCTGCTTTTTCTGAGACCTGTCTCATTTGTCAGCCGTGCTCCTTTTTAGCTCTACACAGGAGATCATGTCATGGTTTGGGTAATGCTGCTCTGAAGGAAAAAGAATTATGAACCCTTGCAAATAGAGAGTTACTAATAATACACACTGCATCCGTGTTTTTAGAAACTATAAACTTAAAGCTTGGTCTTGCACTATGTGGCTGCTAAGTTCCAGTCCAAAAGTCACAACATCAGCCTAAATTCTTCTGATATCTAGAGTAACTTGTTAGTACTCTGGACTGCACTTTACCTACAGTTTTGCTGCATGGGATAATTTTCTCAGTTTTACAACTGGGCCAGTTGCATGCTGCTGATACAAACTTTAACCCCCAAACGGCAGCAGATACGGGGTAGCAATGGTCATTCTGATGTGGCCTGTGCCCTTCTGAACGCTGATAAACTCTCCATTAAACAACAAACAATTTCTGCTGATAACAGCATCAGTACTCCTGCCCTACTACCACGTCCCTGAATTAGCACAGCAGCTTTTGGAGTTATGGTTGCCTTCTGGCAAGCTGGATGGCACCTTTGGGTACGCCAGCAGCAGGAAACGCTGCGCTGCTTTGCTTCTGCCATTCAGAGCAACAGGACAAGAGTCCCTGCTCCTTGCTGCCAAGAGGCTCTGCCCAGCAGCTCCCACTCTGCCAAACTCCCCTTTCACGGCTCCCTAAGCAGAATGGACCGAGGAGGGAAAGCGGCTGCAAGACTCCTGGAGAAAACAGCAGGGAACCTCTGAGCCAAACTCATTCTTCCCTATGCACCACGGAGCTGGAAAAACAGCCTGCACACAGAGCTGGGTTTTCCCTCTAGGTGCACTTTCTATAGAATGGAATTAGCAACTGAGAGAATTTTTATTTTTTTTTACTTGACAGGAACAAGGGGATGATCTCTGGTTAAGAGAACCACGGAGATGGAAGGAAAGGACAAGCTCAGCTTCTTGGCCATGGCCATTTGGGAGAGCAATGGGCCACTGCACAAAGCACAGCTTGTCCACTCTGACAACACTCTAAATGAGCAAAAGAAGTGAAATCATCAAGAAGGTGGATTAGGCAGGAGAAAAGTTCTAGTAATCCCAAGCAAAAATAGTGCTATCAAGTTTGCCATCTTCTGGACTGGGTGATTAAGATGCCTCTCTTTCCAGAGATAAAGCTGCATATAAGTACAGCAGAAAGATTCTTCTCATCTCTGCTCCCTTTATTTCCCCTTTGATATCACTAGTTCTATCTCATCTTCAAGCCAGCACCTCTACTTTTCCTCTTCTCCCTTTTGCTGAATATTTAACTCCTCCTTTGTTAACATCCAACAGGGCAATTGTCTCCATTTTTTATAAGAATGCTAAAACTGAAAGGAATGGGACAACAGAGAAAAAAAAAAGTGTTAAAATACCAGCCTTACCTAATGTTTTAACTCCAAAGTTATTCCTTTCTGTTTCTAACACTGCAAAAGTACCACACCTTGTTTAACACTGGGTGCGTAAACATGAGTATTTTAATTCAGCTCAGGAGTTTACCTTGAAAGTCCACTTATGGTGCTTTAGTTTGCATAACAAAACTGGCTCAAAGCGGGTGAACAGGGCACTCTTCACAAGAAACTGAACTGAAAACACACTCCAATCCATGGGTGATAAGTGTGCATGAGCTGACAGAGGCAAATCCAAAGCAAATGCTCAAAACCCACAGACAAGTCTGCTCTATAGGTCTGCTCCTACTGCAGCAATTTTCTTGCTAATGTAGACACAGGCAGTGTGTAGCATTACTCAATTCCGTCCATTTTTTTATTATATAAGGAATAAGATGTACTTGAAGTTAGGAGTTTAAACAAGGCAGCACATGAGTGTCCTGTGACAGGGCTGGTTTTATGACACGACATTGCTGCCTCTTAGAACTTCTCCCATCTCTTACCCATCAGAATCAGCTGCTCACGGGCCCTTGCAGTAAGGTTCCTGCTTGGCTGACCAGCTGGGAACTTGATTTGGGATAAGCCAGAAGCTTTGGGTGACCACAAGAAGAATTTCACTGAGCCTAAATTTCGTCAGGATGCAGGGAGCATGAAGCAGAGTATGTAAAAAAATTGATGAGAGGTAGAAGAGGAGGAGATAAGACAACCTGCAAGTGAAGCAGTAGGTTTCTGGCACCCATTGGGTAAGAATGTGTTACTTTCTGCAGTTGCCTGCTATGTCCATGGAATGAAAGAACACTTTCCGAATGCTTTTCCTGGCAGGCCTGGGCAAACCAGCAGGGTCATTTCTGGCTCAGGGCTGTAAACAGCATGTTGGCTCCCCTCCACATTATGCAGGTAGCTCGCAAGGCACTGTGTAATATTATGGTAAGATAAATAGCTTTAATTCTTTGGGACCGTACAGCCACGCAAGAAACACGAGCAACATAAAGTATTAAATACACGGTGCCATAAGGCCTCCTGTGCCCTGGCTTGTGCTTTGGGCAGTGACAGCAGGAAAGCAATCTGTCCCCTCTCATGTGAGGACAGGAGCAGCAGCACAGAAACCCTGTTATCTCCTTCACACCACTGGAGCAGCTCCAGTGGGAACACTGGGCCCTACTGAAGAGTGCCAGCTAGAGTTCATCTCTCAGACATTCTCATACGACTGACGGACATCACTGTACTGACAAATGGCAGTTTTTAGTGTGGCAGGGTCCAGAACGGTGCTTCAGCTATTCCTGCTGTTGGTACTGCTGCCAAATTGCAGACTACTTTCTTCAAAGGCTGTCTATGCAAATTTTTACGTGGGGGAAGTCAGCAGTAAGGTTTTCATCTTGTACAATCCAGGTAAGGGACTCTATTCTAGCTGTAGTCTCTACTTCAAAATTGCAGCATGTGTAAACCTGTCTCTGATTTAAATACAAAACTGTGACTAAAATCCCCATAATTTGCTCAGCAATGTGCTGTTACTTGTTCACTGAAACAACATGGTGCTCTTTAGGACTACTCTAGTTTTAGTTCTTGAATGTTCTTTCTCCTTCTCTTGTTCTCTCCTGCATGTAATGTTTTTTTTCAGTCAAGTCAGAATGCCAACATTTTTAAATGATCTCTTTTGGTTATTTCAGATCATTACTAAGCAAACACTTATCCTGAATCAAGACAGTAAATTCAGACTATTTTTTCAACAATAATTCAGCTTTCTTCAGAAATTAATGTAAGAAGTTGAAAAGTCCTTTGTGATTCTTCCTCTTTTTCAGAAGACTATTTTTACCGGTTTGTGGTGATCCTCTGAAAGTGAAACCCTAGAAACTGTTGTCACAGTAAAACTGCAGTGTAGATGGGAAACTGCATCACAGAGGAAGAAATAAGCAACGACGTTTTAGCCCATCTTTGGAGCTATGCTTCACCCTCACGGCCTTGTCCTGAAATAATTCAGCAGTATTAGCAGCAGCCAACAGAAACAGTTTTCTTCCTGAATCTATGTAAACACCTGAAATGGAGGAAGTGAAGGAAAAGCCATACTTCATGTCCTAATGCCACTTCCAGCTTTTAGAAATGCCTTTCATTTATACCCCATGCCATCCTATGAAGTGGTCATCAGCACTAGCTGCATTACCAATGAGATTAAAAGGATTGTAAACTAAGCTGCAATTAAATGAACATTTCTTTGTGCAGGGCTAAGGAACTCCTCTCACTCTCCTCTCATGTTGCTCTGGAGTAGTGTTTGGCCCTTCCTTTTAAAGTCATGGTACAGGTATAAGGCTTTACCACCCAGGGCTTACCCATCCATTAAGCAGGAGAGCTGGAGTCAGCCCCCTCTGCCTGAGTGCTTCAACCTGCATGACCTGCAAGAGTGCCAAACTGCAGCAAGGCTGTTTTGCACGCCCTGGAGCCTTCTGTCTGAAGTTATGCCTGCCACTGCATCTAATTAAAAGATACTGAGCTAGGGAGAAAGGACAGGGAAAAGTGCAGCTCCAGCCTCCTGGTTTGCTTTATCCATTTGAAGCATGCAGGGGAGAGATGTGAGCGGTCTTCTGGACCCTGCTCTCCAGAATTTTCATACAAATTCTAAACATCCATTGAGACTATGTGAAACAGACAGTGGCCTACCTCAGGAAGGGACACTGTGGCATCCCAGTGGCTCACTGTCGACAGTGCACATGGAACATTTGTAACAGCACACAGGAGTCTCACGCTTCCTTAATCTGCTGACTGCAGCAGGCAGCGCTTATCATCATTAGGACAATAATTATCTGCTGTTCACTTCAAAGAACTGGTGCTGTTCACCCATAAGATGCTGAGCAGGAAACACCCTCCCAAATGTCGTGTCCCCAACTTACTGCTAGCAAGAAGCAGCTCGGAGAGTACGATCGTGGTGCATTCTGCAGAGCCATCTCTGCTGCGGCTGCCTCCACACACACTTTCTAGGACCTTTTCTGCATCAGCACTCGTTAGACTGGTCCCTTGCTTGATCCGGGTGACTAACCTCGTAGTGAACTATCTGCTTTTTCTGGTTTAGGTTTCTGCCAAACAAGTAAATTCAATCAGATCGCAATTAAAGGACCAGAGAGAGACGTGGGAGAAAGGAAAGCAGGACTTTTCTCGTTCGGAGGTGGGGAGCTGCTGGACTAATTAACGCTGCCTTGTGTGCATGTCCTGTGTGTTTCCTATTACTTCATTCTTTTCTTTACAGAAGTTTGGTTTAACAAACTTCTACGTTGAGCTCAAAACGACAGCCAGTGCAGTTTCCTGTATCAACCCCTTCACGGGAAGAATGTTTTGCTCAGTTTGATCTCGCACATCATAAACTAAATCAGGCAGAAATAAGTCTGGTGCAGACCACGGTTATGAAGTGACACAGTTTTTCTTGCTTGCATTTCCTTTAAAAATATTATACTTCTAGTTAGCCAAAGCAACTTTATTGTGACAGATGACACAGTAGTGGCTGTATCACTTCAAATATACTTTCAGGTTCAGAGGAAAGCTTGTATTTTTTTTCTGCTAGGTGACTACACCGCCAAATGCTTTCACAACCCAAAGTTTCCCTGAGCATCTGCAGAGATTTACACAGATAGCATGTATACATACACTTGAATTAATGTTTTGGGAGCTACAACCTCCCCCTCAATCGCCAGCCCACATCACAACTCCAGCCCTGCCTTAACCATTTCCCATGGAACTCAAGTATCTCATGTTTACATAAGCGCAGGCACCCTGTGTTTTGCAACACGCTTCGCGCTGCAGGTGGAGCGCAGGACATCACCCCAGTTCTCCTGGCACTGAGCTGCGAGGTTTTGCTCACCCTGCCCGGCAGTGCCCCCGATGACACGCCTCTCCTTCACGGTGCCACCACTGCCGCAGACACGAAAGAAAAAGAAGGACAGCGATGTCCCCGGACAGCGATGTCCCTGCACTCGGACGGGGCAACACCTGAAGGGCTGCGGAGATTCCCGAGCGGACACCCCTCCGGACACGCGCTCACTGGATGCACACGCATCACCGGGCACTCACGGGACAATCCCAAACAAAGTTCCCGTGCCCGGGACACGGACCCAAACAGGGGTCTTTCGCAGGCACCCCCGGCTCCTCCTTGCGCCCCTTCCACAGGCGGCCTGCCAGGACCGCACCCCGACCTCCCGCGGGGAAACCGAGCGTGCTCCCCCTCCGCACCGGGGGCTGGCCCCGGGCAGCGGCGGCGGGCGCTTCGCGGGCTGCCGCGCGGGACGGGCGGTGCCGGTGCCGGTGCCGGTGCCGGTGCGGGATCCCGCCCGGGCGCGGCGGCGCTGGCACAGGTGCGGCTCCGCGCGGGCGAAGCGATGCCCGGCCCCGGCCCCCAGCGCTGCGCGGCACGGCGGCGGGGTCGCCCGTTCTCACGGCGCGGAGCCCCGCCCGGGGCGCCAGCCCCGTCTCCCCCCGCCCTGCTTTACCCATGAGGATGGACAGGATGAGGCGCAGCGCCTGCTCCGACGAGCCCAGGGCCTCGGCCAGCCGCGCCAGGCTCCAGCCGGACCCCGCCACCGCCATCTTCTGGCTCCGGGTCTGGGTGTGAGCCTGGCTCTGGGTCTGGGTGTGAGCCTGGCTCCGGGTCTGGGTCTGGGTGTCAGCCTGAGCCTGGCTCTGGGTGTGAGCTTGGCTCTGGGTCTGGGTGTCAGCCTGAGCCGGGCTCTGGGTCTGGGTGTCAGCGTGAGCCGGGCTCTGGGTCTGGGTGTGAGCCTGAGCCTGGCTCTGGGTCTGGGTGTCAGCCTGAGCCTGGCTCTGGGTCTAGCTCTGCTTCTTGGCTCCGGTCCTGGCTACTGGCTGTGGCTTTGGCCCTGACCTCAGTGGTGGCCTCGGCCACAGCCCCGTCCCTGGTCTTGGCCTCAGCCTCCTCCTCAGCTGCAGCCTCAGCGCGCTGCTGGAGCTTCCCCAGCACTGCCAGGTCCCACTGCCCCCGGGGCTCCCAGAGGACACATCCCCGCTGCTTGGCTCCCAAAGGGACCTGATTCCCACGCGGGCATTACGGCAGCACCTGTGCTTGGCCCTGCGCCTGTGGCGCCCGGCTCAGTGTGCCACAGCAGCAGGCACCGTGTCAGTGCTGCTCAGTGGCCATAAACTAAACCACAAAAAGTTCCACCTCCGTGAGGAAGAACTTCTTTCCACTGAGGGTGGCAGAGCACTGAACATGCTGCCGAGGGAGGTTGTGGAGTCTCCCTCTCTGGAGATGTTCAAAACCTGCGTGGATGCATTCCTGTGTCACCTGCTCTAAGTGACCCTGTCTGTGCA